AGGGGAGCAGCCCCATGCTTTCTATGTATCGGGGGCGGGGGGGGGGGAAGAGCAGAAATCTCTCCCGCTTCCTTTCCTGCAGAAGCCACCCTGCCAACATGCTGCCATGGAGCGTGTTCAGTAGACATGTTCAACCTGGCCCTTGCTTTTTCATTCTTTTTTAATCCTTTGAAATATTGACTCAGATTAGACAAAGCTGAACAGAGGGTGCTTTGCATTCCCAGCACAGACACGCAACTGGAAAGCTCCTGGCAGGACATAAGCTTTGTTTACAAAGAGTTGATTTGGGGATAGAGGCCTTCTGTCTTCATTCATTTAAGTTGGTGTGTGTATGTGTGTGTGTGTGTGTGTCCCAGTGTCATTGTTTGAAGAAGATCCATTAACCTTCAGGGAACAGAGATGGCCCTTGAAAAAAAGCCTTATCTCCAGCCTCTGGTTGCTGGACACAAAGGATCATATCACTATCCAGGGAATTTGTTCTCTCTAACATCCATTACCACAGGATCTTGAACTAGAGTTTCTACATGAAACTCCTTCTGTTTCCTTTGAACTATCTCAAATATACCATGAGGGAATCAATCCTGACATTTCAATTCTTCTGAAATTTGTTGGGAGCTAAGGAACACCTTCTTCTTTCACACCTAAGAAATCTTGCAAGTCCAAACCAAAATGCCCGTGGCTTTTCATCGAAATTCACCTGAATAGCCATCCGATTCTCATCAAAACTTGATTTTGGGTTCTAGTGGTTAATACCCCAGCATACAGAGGACAATCCTGTGTTTAAAGATATCCTCTATTTGAAGGGCTATCCAAATGCGTTTTAAAGTCAAAGAGAAGGTGTTTGAAAATTGTCCACTGACCTCAGAAGATTAAGGCCACTTCCAGACAACCTGCTTTTCTATCACCTAAATCTTCTGGCCTCTTAACTTTAAATGAAACAGATTTAAATAATCATTCTGACTATTTAAATTTGCTAGGAAACTACATTTATCAGAACATTTATTTATTTATTTCAATTTATATAGCCACCCTTGTGTGATTGTGTGATTCTGGGCAGCTGACAAGTTCAGATATTGCACTAACCAGTCTATTAAATAAGCCACAACTGAGTTCTCACTATATGCTAAGCCACAGAAGGTAGATTCCAAATCATAATGAACATACAAAGCCAAAAATAACCAACGTTGTTTAATTAAAGCCATGGTGATATCCTACTGGCTTAAGAACAAATATAAATTTATCTGAACAAGGAAGCTATGGATAACTCATTTCAATAATGTTCCTTTTTCCACCTGGTCTCCAGATGGTTTCATTATGTCCCACCACTATTATCAATACCTGAAGTGAACACACCAAAGCCCCATAAAATCAATAGGATAGCCAACTATGTACTGTACAAGATCAAATTGCATCTAACAGCTTGTTGTGTCATCTATGTCTTTCTGGAAGTGTTATCTTCCAAGTTGGATGAGGTATATTTGCTTCTCTGTGAGTCTGCGATGTTTGCAGATCACCCACAACTCATCCGTTTCCCCTTTCTGTCCAACAGACAAGTACAACATTGTTTCCTAAATGAGTGTTCATCTGTCAATCAGTAAGAAATGTCTTGCTCTTCCCCTTCAATTCTGCACAGTCATACAACTCCCACCCCCAACCTCCCGCATCCAGATCTGCTTGCCAGGGCAGGATACTCCTTGGCATGATTATTGAGAACTGAACCCCTTTAGGCGGGCATGCCAGCTGTGTGCCACATGGAGACAACAGGAGTTGGAAGCAAGTCAAGTCAGGCATCTCTTCTATTGGCATCCCTTCTCCTGGCCGTGCTGTTTGCCACATGCAACACAACACTGACCAGCTGCTTGGAAATGGGACTTCTGTGCCTGCCAAAATCGCACAGCTGCAGCAGGGACACGCCAGGTTGTAGTGCAACAGTAAGCACTCAGTGCCAATATCAACAGATCGATTTGATTTAATGTTGCTGCTGCACCTCCACCCAGAAGACCATCTGCCCTCGATTGTCCCCTACCCTAGAACATGATAAATGTATTCTTTTTAAACTATAGGCATTATCTGTCAGGCCCAGCCCAAGATCAATGGTGAAACATCCGGTTGAGTTCAGTTCCTTTATTTGCTTACACCTTGTAGACCAGGGTTCCTCAACCTTGGCAACCTGAAGATGTGTGGACTTCAACTGCCAGAATTCATCAGCCAGCCATGCTGGCTGGTGAATTCTGGGCGTTGGAGTCCACACATCTTCAAGTTGCC